CTTCACCACTGGATGAGAAAAAAATGTGGACTTGTCTGGGCAGGAAATTCCTACATTCCCATCATTTCGCTCGCATGTGCAAAACCAAATTCTATTGATGCCCAGGTATAAGCATCACTTAAGCGAAATACAAAGCGCCATCAATGTTAATGGTAATTATACAATGCCACCCCTCTCCCACCACACATACACCCTCCATTAGAGTCAACTTCCTCCCGTACGCAGCGCTAGCATTAACTCATAACTCACAATGAAAAGGGTAAAGTCATGCAAACAGCAAATGCTACATGACGTATTTAACATTGCTTAGAGTTTCTGAGATGCTGCTTGATGCTGAGCAACGCTGTTGCCTGGTAAAAGCAGTGTTATCAAAAAGAAAGCTTGTGCCCTCTTAGTAGTAAGGAGAACTTGCAATTTTATCTCAAAGCCAGGAACAAGACTAGTTATAAAAGTGCATTTGTAGCTTTTGTCTGACAGTTGTAGACTGGGAAATGATGCGTGTTCACTGAAACAAGTACCCTGGAGGAAACAGAAACAGGTTTGTTGTGCTAGTGGAAGCACGAGAACCGAATTCTGCAGATGTTTGCCTCATCCCAGCCCAGGAAATAAGATCCCTTTCCTTAACTTTGGTGAGTTCTGTGATTTAAGGGTTGTGAGAAAAGTAGAAACAGAAGCTCATAATTTATTTTTAATTATGGATTTCTATACCTACCAATATACACCTATTCTATTCAGATCTCAACCTATGATTATGCTGTGGTTGGTTTGTTTTTTTTGGGTGGTTGTTGAGAGTTTCTTTACTCAGGGAGTATGGACATACTTTGCCTTTGTCAGAGAACACTTTCGGTTTAGTTCTTACCATTGAGAGGGAAAATATCCACATAGAAAAAAAATATCCTATTCCTCCTTTCTCATTTGCCTCTTACCCTTATTCTGCCATCTTGCCTTTTTATTTCCTGACATTATTGTACCATCTTCATTCAAACACAGTGCCATGGCCGCCTGAGGGATCAAGGGCTACCTTGTGTTCATAGGAGATCCTTATTTTGTTGTTACAGACTGTTTGGTGCTGAGGTGTCATAGGGATTATTGCACTAGAAATACTAACCTGTGAAACAACCTTTACACAGAGAGAGAAGGAATTCTGTAATGGCAGCACAGCTAGGCCTTTGTCCTGAAAAATTTGCAGTCGTAGACTAGAAATGTTTCTATGAGGAAGCACAAACTTCTCTCTCACCACAGGGCTTTCACGAATGGTAAAATCAGGGATAGCAGAACAAGCATTTGATCAGCACTACGTAATGTAAAGTTCCTGTTTGTCAAATACTGGGACCTTGGCATAATGCCCCCATATTCGGGACTGTTCCTGAAATACCTGAAACATCTCACCACTTGCTGTTGACTGCCTTTCTTTCCAGCCTGTCCAGCTGCAAATGCATGGGCTGTTATTCTCATATCCAGTAGCTCTGACATAACCTTGTCCACTTTTGATGAAGGCAAAAGTAATACCCCTGTACGGTCACTCAAGATCAGTCCAGCTATTGCAAATGTCAGGTTCTGACAGTGGGAAGCCAAACAGTGTCAAACTATATTTGAATCCTGTGTTCAAAAAAAGAAGAAAAGCCTCTGATGATAAGAACAAACTTCTTTTAGGTTATCTACTGGAAACTACTTAAGTGATGCAAGGATGGGTTCACATTCAGGTAGGATATTAAGAATCTTTTCATTTTTTGCTCCAAGACCATACCTGACTCTATAGAAGAAAAGCGTTCTTGGAAGATGTGGGAGTACCTACAGAGTCTTGGGCTACAACTCAAATTGCTCTGCTTGGCTATGGCTTGCCTCCATGGTTTATAAAACTCAATATACATGACAAAAACAGACACAATTGAAATTAAATGAGGAGGAAGGAAAAGCTGACTTTGAAGCGATGATGATACGGGAGATATGGGACAACCTGATGCAAAGCAGACCTGAGCAGATCGGTAAAATACCAGCTGACATTGCCTTGGTGACATATGGCATTTTCTATCCATAAACTTAAAAAAGATGCACAAGCCCAGAGCCTCATTTCCCCAGTGAAGTACAGAATATTAAATGACTTGCCAGGGAACACATAGCAGGTTAATGGTGAAGCTATTGATCCAAGTCTTCCCTTGATTCCATCCATTGGATTACAAAGCTGTTTCTCAGACTTTCCTTTTGGATCATTCTTTGCTTGGAACCTCTCCTCTTTCAAATATATTTCACCTTACAAATTGGCACAAAGTTATCTGCACAGATTGACATAAGCATAATCAAGACCGAAACTTACACAACCATCAGTTTTGCATGGTGAGTATACCATATGGATTATCAACCATATACTATTATTGTAACCACATTATTGCATACTAAACACATTTAGCATACTAAAATTGGATTATCAGTGAATTTTGTCAGAAATAAATCCCCAGCGATACGCAGGAAGTTTTGAGCTCTAGCATCTTAGGGGTAATATTTCATGAGGCAAGACAGCAGAATTTGAAAGAATGCTGCACTAAGGAGGAAGATGGGCTGCAACCCAAACTCTATGAGGCCTGTGGTAATGCCGTTATTGATGTTACTGGGCTAGACCTTCAACTTTTGAAAAGCCTGGGAGAGGCAAACAGGAGAGCGGAGCAAGACAGCCCCAGCTGGGACTGATCTGGTCTGAATAGCTCTGTTGGGCACACAGTAACTACGGATATGGGTATAAAACCCGTGCCAAGTTGAAACTTGGGGGCAATTTCTAGAACAGCAGAACTCCTTTACGTTAGACTGTACATGTGAATTGAGCAGAAGATAGCCCTTACTGTTGCCTTGAAAACTGTGGAGTTTGGAGCAAAAAGCTCTACAGCACCATAAAGGCACAGAGAGCTTAGAGGTAAAACCTTATTCCTCTCCTCCACAGTATACATCACTAGAGCAAAGAGCAGGGGGCTACCCTTAATTAGGCAGATGTGAAAAAGCTAAACCGAGGAACGAGTGCTCGTTTTGAGATGACCTGTAGGTCAGGTTTCAAACTGAACCGTTTTAAGATTTAAAAATAGAGTTCATCCTACAGATAGACTGAGTCACCTCTTCACCTGGCGTCAATTAAGTGTTGCTTGAATGCGATCAGTGGACTGTGAGAGCTGGAGGGCTCTCCCTTCACCTTTCACTCACCTTCATCATTCAGGAGAAGAAAAGGGAAGGACCGTTCTGCACACCATTCATGTATACAATTCACTTTGCCTGTATTTTTGTTTTGGAAACACTGAGCAGTAAGTAATGAAAATCTATCAGTAATGAAAATCTATCCTAAACTAGAGCTGGGCAAATAACCTTTCTAATGGTTCAGAACCTGTATCTCAGCATCGAAAGCTCGCAGGCTGAAATGTTCTTCGGTCTAACTGGTGCTTTAAGTTATTTTAATGACTGCCATTTTATGTTTTAACTCCTTGGGCCAATTGCAATTGTTCTACATTTCAGCTTCACCATTCAATTATCACATGAGCCACATAAAACTCTTCTCGTTTCCTGCTCTGATGGGATCTGCACATTTGCAATGCTGCTTCCCAGTGCACTTGTGTATGTGGCTTTGAAATGCTCTCTGCCAGTAAAACCAAATTATTTGATTGTTCCGAGAAAATGAACACAAAGGGGACATAAAAAGATCAAGCTGAGTTTATTTAAGATTTGGACAAATGTTCGTGGAACGCTCCTGGCATTATTTGCCCAGCTCTTTTTAACACTGTGGTGGTGCAGCATTTTGGATAGTGTGGTGCCTAAGCTAACCAGGCTCACTCAGCATCTTTCTCCAGGACGCGATCGCAGACAGGTTGTATAACCCAAGTGCATTGCACCCACTCACTCACTGTGAACTCAGACCCCACGAAACTTCCTGGAGAATGAAAAATTAAAGGAGAAAATTTTTCAAAGCATTACAATGTGCAATTTCAATGTAAGGCATAATGGAAGTAGCTGTGTGGGAGGATATTACTTCATTATAAAACCTAAATCAGATGCCCAAAGATTTCTGTCATCTCCAGAGACCGTTCCATCAGGCTCTACAAGAGGTTTTCCAGTGGAAGAAAAATAGCCCCCCGTCCCTTCAGGCTTCAGAAAGTTGTATGGCTTTTTTAACAGTTTCTAATGAAATCCCATATTATTGCTTCTCCCCTGGGAGACTTCAAAAGTCATGCAAACTTCACAGAGCCCACATGTTCATAAACCTCAAGCAACAGACCAGTAAGGAAATAAATTGCAGTTCTCCAATTAGCATTTGACATTCTCTACTGTTTTTTTGGTGGGGTAAATTTGTCTTTCTTCTAAACCATGCTGATAAATTAAATGAGTTACTAAACTCGGCATTACTTCATGTTTTAAGGCACACTGAAATCAAACACTCCAATTCACAGTGGGATTTGCTTTCTGCATAATATTTGGGGGAAATATGAAACAAACACAGCAGTTTCAAACATGTTAAAGGGGCTAATATGTACATGAATATTTTCTTCAAGCTCCTTATTGTGTATTCACAGCTACTGCCAAACACAACAACAGAGACGGGGTATTAGGATATGAGATGGGAAGTGGTCAAATTTTCAAAGCGAGCTGCTGGGTGCTGAACACTTTTGAAAATCTGGCCCCTGACTCCTTGGTGCTGTTCCAGGAAGAAATATCTCTACGCTGGCAGTTGGCCAGCCAGCTTTGGAAATCCTTCTGCACAGTTGTTTCAGTAAAGCATAAAAGCCGATCCCCAGCTTTCTCTGCCTGATTAAGCACTGTCACCAATCACTATGCAGCTGTAAGGTACGCATGAAATATTCCTAGATAAATCCTCCATCTCCAGAGAAATGTGTTTCCTGTACAACTGTAAATCCAGGTTCTGTGTTGAAACTAATCCAGTCTGGCAGCACTATGGCCCTAGAAAAGTTTCCTTGGAAACGACAAACTTATGCAATGGCAAAGTCATCCAATCTTTTCATGCCACTATATTATATTAAAAACACCTGGTTTATTTATACAATGACTTACAGATCAGGGTCCTAGAAATAACAATACATAAACTTTATAGCAAAAAATATACATATAATAATTCATCCTTCTATGATATATAGAAATGATGTATATTTGTGTGTGTGGACATATATATAAATATATGGGTTGTACTTACGTTTAGGGCATTTGTGTATAGATATGTGTATCTACATACACACAGTATACATTTATATATCTTTCTTGGTGCCATGTGTGTATACATAAACACACATAAATACACACACAGGAGCATATTTACACTCCGTGAGTAGACGTGTACTCTGCAGAATCTGCACACAAACAGCTGGAGTCCTTCACCGGCTGTGGGCATCAACAGGGTCAGAGACACCCACATTTGTGTCCGCAGAAAGAGAACTAATGTCATCGCTGTGGGCACAGGACTGGCTTGATGCATCTTCCTTTGTGAAGAACTAAATTTGCTGGACAGTGGCACCCTGCAACGCAGGGCTTGTTGCACGGGCCAATCTCGTTCCAGTTGTCACATGTTTTGACGCATCCTGGACCACAGGTATCATAAACTGCGCCATGTTTACACTGGGTTGCTGAAAGGCAGTTGAAAGGAACAAAATATGCATATTACACAGAGTCACACAAGGAAAGTTACATACCTGTTTGCTTGGTTTCTACTGCAAATATCAAAAAGCACATTTTGGTATGACAATCATCTCAAGGAAAAAAATACTTGTAAAGAGATTCCACTGTATTAAATGGAACACGACTTTACATCACAAATATAAAGGTAGCAAAATTCCTAATCAAATAGGTATCAAGTTCCCAGCAGTCTTGGACTTTTTGAGAATTTTAACACAGCTGATGGTATATAAAGCTTTGGCAACGTTTCTATCTATGAGCCGATCTATGCTTTATATTTAAGGCTTAACATTGTTTATTTATTTGTTATAATGCCTTTTATCAAAGATTCCTGAAACATTTACAAGGACAGACAGTTATTACCAGTCCCACTCCTACAGAAACAAGAAGAGAGAGTCATTCACCATGTCAGACTTCCTATTCCTAAGATTATACTTTCAATATTGCATATTGCAGCAAATCAAACAATGCTGTTAATTCAGCAGCACCATTTCTAAAACAAAACTTTTTTTTAAAAAAAAATCAATTATTTCCATGCTTTATGCTATTTTACCAAGGGATCACTGAGAATGAGGATTCTTGTACTTAATGATTCCAGTATCTATTCATTGATTTATATAGTTGACAGTTCAATGCATTTCCAACACAAGAGACCACTGAGGGCTCAGCTAAAAGCACTATACCCCCTCCAGATCAATATTTAAACTCTTAATATTTTATATCCTGCCTTTTTAGTATGGAGAATAAATGCATGGTTCGATAGCGAATAAAAGCCTGTTATTCTTTTTAACGGCTGTGCTGACGGCAAAAACAAGTACTGATAAAATAGTTTATAGATGGTAAGGGACTCTCAAGCATCCAGAATCATCTCTTGCTATTTACAGAGAGGTGGTTGCGTTAAGAAGGTTTCTTCCATTTTGAGACAGATTGAAGGTCCAGATGTTTTTAAAGAACAGTTCTCCTTTGGATAGAAAAATGCTGGTTTGTTGTGAGGATTTGCCTTAGCGTGCCATTAGAGTACTGTTATTATTCATAAAGAGAAAATAGGCAGAAATAAATTGATTAAATATGTATAAGAGTGTATCACAGAGGATGGAAGTCTTGGTGCTAAGGCATCATAAATTTAAGGGGTTCCTCTTCACCAGTAACAGTGATCTTCAAAACAGCATCAGCTTCTTGCAAGTTTTACTTCTTCTGCATTTTATGGCATTTATACATACGTGAAAGGCAGCCCTGAAGAAGGAATTCTGGCAAGAATGCATACAAAGTTCTCAGGACACAGATATTAAATAGGCAAACAAAAAATTGGAAAAATTGGATAGTCCAGCAGAAAACGACCCTGGAGTTACAGAGAATCAACAGCTGAATATTAGATTGACATTAGATATTAGGTAGATATTATGGGGAAAAAAAGTTTTCTAGTTTTAAGCATGGGAAAGCACTGGAGCAAGCTACCTAAAAACTCTGTGAGACATATTTTATTGAACATCATTTTAGAACAGGTTGGAAAAAACATCTTTCAACAATGTTCAAGATAGGCTTATTCTGCTTGTGGGCACAGATCTTTTGAGAACTTTTTTCCAGCTTTACATTTCTATCTTGCTCTGCAGGATAACTTCCGTGCACATTGAAGAAGGGGCTAAACAAAAGGAGTAACTAAAATGAAATTTAAATGAAATGGGAAATTTAGAAGGTGGGAAAAACATGCAAGAAATATTGAGCATATAGTAAAATGTTACATTCACGACAAACACTGCACTTATACAGCGCGTTAAGAACAGAGATTGAATCTCTCTACGAGAGTAACAAAAACGTGCAAAGCTCCCAGAAGCTTTGCAAACAATGTACTAACTGTCTAGAAAAGTAGACCAAAATGTTCAAAGACTGATACTGATTGTCCACACACAACGTGAATTATCTTAAGGGGGCTGTTTACTAGAAACTTTTGTCCCTCCTCTCTGAAAATGAGCTTCCCTTCAAAGGATCTCTAATTGATCAACCATAAACTGAAATATTAGGCTTCAGTACATGCAGTTTCCCTATAGAAAGGTCTGTGAGCTTCGGTTTTTAGGCTGCACAGGGTTCATGCCACAAAGCTTTACTGCAGTAATAGCTGGCCTGCTCATTCCATCGGAGCTCTGTTTGATGCCTCAGCTGGTGGGTTTGAGGAAAGTTGGCTGAGGTCTCCTTTCCACTTCCTCATCTCTGCCCCAGAGCAAACGAGAATATATTACAGGCTGCCCCTGGCAGCCGTGGCATCTGTAAGTACTCCACAGCTCTACTCCACCACACATGGATGTGGTATGTCAAAACACCTCCTTCTCCTTCAGATGATGCCATGTAGGAGATATGATGACTTTAGTTTCTGCTGTAGGCAGTCTATAATGGCATTATTAATTTGCTGTCAAGGGACAAATCAGAAAAGTACAATGGCTGCTGTTTAAGTTCCCTGGATGGCTTTTATTGTTGAGTGTTTCACTTGTTAACATGTGGTGTGATTGATCCAGAACATTCCACTTCATCAACAGTTTAAAAAATAAAAATAAAGACATTGTGCAGTAAGCTTCCCAGGGACTGCTGAAATGAATCAGTACCATGTAAACATGGAAAACAGCAGTGATGCCTTTGCACCCATCTTTTAAGGCAAATTCCTCTCTTAAAGAACTGAGCTCTGTTAGTAATAACTTCCTTAGTGCACTAACAAAAAAAAAATAATCAAAAACTCAACCCCAAAGTACAAAAGTTACTAATAATACTGCATTTTGCAACGTTACCAGTCCCAACAGGATTTTTCCACTCTTCTTCTAGAACATGTGTTTGGCATGACAGATGTGAGCTTCCTCAGACCGCTTTGTGAGCTGGTGGGATGATAGCCAGCTCCAGTCCAGAAGCCATATAGTCACATAAATACAGCACTGTGCCTGAGCTAATAAACCCTGCCTAATAAGGCTATACAGTTTTCAGACCAGAGCTGGTTTATTCCAGCCAGTTTGGCAGTTTCACAGAGAAGGCTTGTATCTGTCTGCGCCTGTCTTTGTAGACATGGCCGTAATTATTTAGGAGGAATTCTTGTTCCCCAACACAAAAGCCAAAATACCTAACATGGAACTGCTGAAGCATTCCCTTGGTGGAAGATATCTGGTAAATCAAATTCCTCAGAAATTTCTGAGCTACTACTTGTGCATCAATGAATCATCCTGCTTCTTCTGTTAGAGCCGTGGTTTGGGCTTTTGAGGTGTTTTGTAGGACTTTCAAACTGAATGTCACTTGTGGTGCTTGCAAATCTCCTTCTAACATAGTGGAAGGCAATAGATCTGAGGACTGACCTAACAATACACTCATGTTAACCTTTTCAACTTCCAGTTTTTAATGAGTTTCCACTGAAAAGTCACAATAGCCTTCTGAACCACAATCACACGGATTAAAGCG